CTCTTAAGGCCTGGACACACCAAGCCGATTTTGGCCATCGATGTGTAAATGTAAATGTTTGTGAAAAACGTGTGCAAAGTGTCCGAAAACGGAGCAGTGGCTGTGATGCTAGCTTTGCGGCTAGCGGTTAGTTGTTCTTTTTTATGTTTGAATGTTAACAAATAACAATCGACAGTGTAAACATAATTATGTAAATAACCCAATTTGTGTTCTGTGAAACGGAAAAGGATTTTACATTGTTTTTGTTACTTTCGTTGCAGTGTCTTAAAAGTAATTTAGGTTAACTTCCTGTTTGAAGTTGTTGCTATGGAAACAAAATGACGGAGAAAAAAGTAATATCTTCTACATATAATAACGGACAAAGTAAAAAATGAAGTGTAGGCTATGTTTAAATGTTCGGAATTAGACCGTGTATGATGGCCCTCTTGAGTTGCCGTACAATATGACGGATATGACCCCGAGCAGATATGAGAGGCTTCTCAATACTCAAATTTCCCCTCCTCGACTCCCCTCCTCGGTTCCCCTCCTCGAGACTTAGACCCGCCCACAGGAGATACGAGCGGAGGACCGAGGAGGGGAACCGAGGAGAGAGGAGTGGAAGCAGCAGACGTTTAAAGAAATGAGAACTCCTCTCCTCTGAGCGGTCATATTAAAGAGACGTCCGTTCATTATTACGTGGCAACAGCTGCATCAGCTGTCGAGTGTTTTGTCATAGCGCTGTATTTTATAATCTCTGTTAGATCAGCTGAACATTGTTCCCCCACATATTTACTTTGAATTCATTGAGAGTGCGGTATAATGAGACAATAACAGGCTACGGATGTGGACACACACACATATATTTATATAAATATATACAATTTAAAGTATGAGAGCACTCTCATAATAACGTAACACAATCAGAGACTGGGTATATCACCCCCCCCCCCCCCCCTCTCTGGTCGCTGAAATGGGGAATTGAAATTACGGGCCAAAAGTTGTATTTACAAGTAGGCCTATTAAAAGTAAGCAGAGGACACCAAACCAACTGAGACCCGTCTGTCCGCCGCATTTACGCACTGTACCACACACACCTACACACTGTACAACACACATTTACGCACTGTACCACACACACCTACACACTGTACAACACACACCTACACACTGTACCACACACACCTACACACTGTACCACACACACCTACAGCTCCAAAAGCATAAGCCGTTGTGTATTTTATTATGTGAAGCAATGGTCTTAGAAAAATATCGACTCTTTGTTTGTAGATATCTACTAAACTAAAGCAAATAAAGAGAGTAGGCCTGTTATACTGAGTGATATATATTATACACACTGCTCTGCTTTCTGCATGGACCTTACAGCTGTTCTCTCTGGAAACATCGCGACGCGATGAAAGCAGTTTCTAAAATAATATCCAGGGGATGCATGCATAGCTGTCATTGGCTGAGATAAGTCCGGCCGTGCGTCACGCCTCCACCGTTCCCGGAAATGCATCCGTGGAGGAACCATCAGTGTATCCTCGGTTATAGCTCCTCCAGAGAGCCTCCTCGACGCTCGATGCTCGGTGTGCATTTAGAGAAATGAGACGTCCTTCAAAATGGCGTGCTGAAATTCATTTCCGGGTCACTACCGGAGGACCGAGGAGTCGAAGAGGGGAAATTTGAGTATTGAGAAGCCTCTATGGTACCCCGAGCCATAGATATATATATAAACACTAGATGACTCACCCGCGCTGCTGGCCAATGGAGACCGACGTTGCCACATGGCCGCCATCTTGCTACAGGTAGTGCTCTCATTCATAACATTGTGGTTTACTATTTAAATAGCCATAGCTTGCTCAATTTTCAAACGTTTTTTTTTTTTTTATAAACATCAAAGATGTAGTTATGATACTGTATACTTATAGTCATGGACTTTCTTATGAAAATAACATTAAGCAGATAAAGCAATAGCTATACACACACACAAGGTATTTATATTAAATATTTGCCGGTGTATATATTTCCATTTATTTTTATTATATTGTTAATATTTAAAATAGGCGGACAGACGGGTCTCAGTTGGTTTGGTGTCCTCTGCTTACTTTTAATAGGCCTACTTGTAAATACAACTTTTGGCCCGTAATTTAAATTCCCCATTTCAGCGACCAGAGAGAGGGGGGGATATATCCAGTCTCTGATTGTGTTACGTTATTATGAGAGTGCTCTCATACTTTAAATTGTATATATTTATATAAATATATGTGTGTGTGTGTCCGCATCCGTAGCCTGTTATTGTCTCATTATACCGCACTCTCAATGAATTCAAAGTAAATATGTGGGGGAACAATGTTCAGCTGATCTAACAGAGATACAGTGCTACGACAAAACAGTCGACAGCTGATGCAGCTGTTGCCACGTAATAATGAACGGACGTCTCTTTAAAATGACCGCTCAGAGGAGAGGAGTTCTCATTTCTTTAAACGTCTGCTGATTGCCCTCCTCGGTCCTCCGCTCGCATCTCCTGTGGGCGGGTCTAAGTCTCGAGGAGGGGAACCGAGGAGGGGAAATTTGAGTATTGAGAAGCCTCTAAGGTACCTACACCGGTTGTTGCCTCTTTTGAATGACGAATACACACTACCGCCGCCTGCTATTAAGGAGAGTTATTGCCACTCACGCATGCGCAGTTCGTACGTGCTTCTTGGCCGTCGGCTGAAGTCTTTGCGATGTGTTCCAGTGCGACACATGGCCAAGACGCAGAGACGCAAGGCGACACAACAGTCGGGGTCCGTCTGTGTCAGTTCTTTGGTGTCAGCGTGGTGTGTCCGGGCCTTTACATCTCACAGAGCTGCTGTCACGGCTGACGACTTTATCTTTTGTTTTCCTGTGAGATTCTGATATATTTACAGCCAAAAAGTATTTGTTTGTTTTTTGGTTGAACTGGTCACAGCGTGTAGACACATGCACGCAGGGTTGCCGGGAAACAAGGAGACATTTATTCCATTTTGAATGGATCAAAAGCCCAAATGATGTTGGGAAACAGTTGGAGTTTGAGTTGAGAGCTGTCCAAGGTGCTGATCCTGGAACAGTCGGGGAGCTGGAGCTGTCCGTGGAGCTTCAGCAGGGAGCGTCCCGCTGCTTCTCTGACAGGAAGCAACATGGCAAACAGGATTAGCTGCTCCAACGTCCTCGTTATTAAAGGAAGTAAACTTGTTATGGTGCTGTTTTATCATATTTAAGTATCAGGTATTTTCTTTTTGATATTCTTTCAAGGTGGACTGGATAAATAGAAACATTTAAAAAGGGAAAAATGCAGTACCCTTCCAATTTTATGATCATAAACTGAAATGAACCAGTTTCTGAATGATGTTATTCATTCAACTCATTCTTGTCTGTATTATATTTTGGTACTAGTTACTGCATTTATGTAATTTATAGCTTTCTCTTCAAATCTCTTTTCATTTGACCTGTTTATTAGTGGATTAACCTAATACATTGTCAATTATTTTTGCTAAATCTTCTTTTAATTGTCCAGTTAAAGCATGAAACACGTTATCATTTCATAAATGTATTCATCTCTCATGCTGTAATTATTCGCCTGTCAGATATCATTGAGTGGATGTTCTGTAGCCATATATATATGTATGTATATCATCTGCGGTCCTCCTATAATCTCTACGCTGTCTCCGTGTCTCATACTGTGGAGGTGCGTCCATTTCCCCCTCATCCTTATCAGTATCAAGCTGTGCACTTATCCGAGGTCTAAGGCTCCTTGTAGTCCCATGCATTGCTGAGTGGCAGCACGCGGGCCACCTGCCACGCGGGGGCTGCAGGTCTAGTACACTTCATGACCCACTTACTCGTCTTGTTTTGACAAAACCCCGAGTGAAGCTCCATCTCAGCGGCGTGTTGTGTGTTGGAGGATGATCAAAGCGTACCTTTCTTGTGAGGTCATAACACCGCGAGTGTGCTGCTGATGAAAGGATTATGCGAGTTGTTATTGATCGGCCAACTGGGGGTCCTGCATTATTCACAGGGGACGGCGTGTCTGCAGCTGTTGTGATAAGCTGTACAACACCCAATAAAGTGTGTTTCTTTTCTCAGCCTCTGAACCTTTCCATATATATACAGAAGTGTGGATTTGACAACATCTTTAACTATTAATGTCCACCATAATGCATGTTTAAAAAGCCTTACAGTAAGGCAGGCGTATGGTGATGCACCTGTCCTGAGGCTGTGCTGCAGATGCATTTAGTTTTAAATGTACATATGAGATGAGCTAGGCTCTTTATACAGAACTACCTACAAAAGGAACAGCTGTTAGAATAATTGTAATTCTCACATCATCTGCTTGACAAGAGCTCAGAGGTCAGAGAAACGGCAACCTGAAAACTCATGCAAATTGAAGTGCTTTTTATGACTGAAGAATTATTCTATGCACCAGTCGATCCTCAAATGAAATACAGAGTTAAATCCCAGACTTAATGTGGCTTAAAGGGTCTTGAATGTATTGTCTTCAGTGATTGTAATGGTACGTTACATAATTTGCCTTACATTTTGAATATGTTTGTAGATAAGAATAACAGTAATTAAGGGTATAAATAGTGGATTGTCATATGGGGAGGGGCTTAACATATATAAACCACAAGTGTTTGGAGGTTAGTCTGACTGTGGCTGTAGAGCAGAGAGGTACCAGTTATATGTCCTCGACCTGTACGTATATATTGAGGTTTTGTTTTCTTTCTGTAGATCCTTGTTACTTTGTGTTTTTTCAGTTGTTAATAAAAGCACCTAAGGGTACATTTTTTGTGACTCTAGCCATATTATCTCATTCCTAGTTTTTTCATCGACCCTTTTTGTAACAGTGTGTTTCCTAGTATCTTGTCTTAAAATGTGCCTGTGTTGCAAATGGAGCTGCTGCACTGCCAGAACATGTTCCCACTTGATCTGACAGTAAAGTGTTATGTATTGTATGGAAAGATGAATATCATAATGAAAGAGGTGTCTCTGTGTGTCTGCAGGATCCAGTCCGGCTCCTACCTCAGCACCGGCTGGTTCACGCTCATCCTCGCCATGGACATGTGCAAAGAGATCCATATCTACGGCATGATAAATGACACCTACTGCAAGTAAGACACCAACTATCCCCTTGCATTCTTAGGGGAAAAATGCACACAAAACACTTCGTAAACTAGATTCGCATTCACAGCAGCGCCGGCCAATCGCAGCCTCTCCCATAATCAAGACGTGCCCTGTTGGAATGCATTTCCAATTCCTCTCTTTGGATTTAATGGCTGAATTTCTATGCTGAAATCCATTTTGGGTTCTGTGTGCCGTGAATACCATTATATATATTCCTACCTAGAATACCCAGCAGACTGCAGAGTCTCCGAGGCTGCAGCACCCATTTCCTCCCCTGCTCACAGTTTTATTTCTATACATGCCAGTCTTCCTCGGTCTGACTCGTGGGTGAGTGATTGCTGTCGGACTGCGAGGCCACGGGAAGGATGACAAACAAGATGCTGTAGCTCCGGGCACGGCTGCTCGCTCTCTGGTTTGATTGACTCGCCTCCTCTCTCTCAACGTGATCTCTCTCTATCCCCCGAGTCAAACACTTCCACCTAATACGCAGTGAAAATCCTGCCTTTTATCCTCCCCGTGTTCCCCGTGCACAGTGGGAGTTGAAATATAAACAGCCCCAGACACATGGCAGAGAGGAGAGATAATTCAACCAGCGCGGAGGACTTTATGATTCAGCGAGGCAGTCAAGAGGCGGCGTTGTCTCCTTTCCCGTCTTTCACTTCTTTCCTTCCTTACCTGCGTGAGCCGGGAGGATGTTGAGTTTCACTGAGTTTCTGAGTGGACGATTTAGTGTCACACAAACCTCTGCTGGCAGCCGACCGCTCCGCTACAACGAGAACAAATTCAGGTTTGGTAGTGGATCAAAAGCCCAATTTATGTTGGTCAACAGTTGGAGTTTGTCTTGAGCGCTGTCCAAGGGGCTGATCCTGGAACAGTCAGGGAGCTGGAGCTTCACTGGAGAGCGATCCTGCTGCTTCTCTGACAGCAAGCAGCATGGCTAACCTGATTAGTTACTCAAAACAACAATGTTATTAAAGGTCCACTATTATACTGTTTTTCATCAATATATCACAGGTCTCAGATATTTACAAAACATGTCTCTGAAGTGTTTGGCTCCAAACACCAAACAGATCATTGCAGCATTACCCATAATCCCCTCTGTTTCAGCCCTGATTCAAAAGTGCTGATTCTCTGTCTGTTACTTTAGATGAAAATAAGGAGCCCCTCCCCACGCCCCCCTGAGAGAGATTTGGTTACAAAGAACACAATGGTGCTCGAGGAGGAGATTCAGGGGATAAGGTGGGGGGGGGGGGGGTTACCTTGGTTGGTGATTGGCTAATGGTTACACAAGCCAAACATCATTATGACATCATAAAGTGGCCAAAATCTGATCAGCTCACGTTCAGGCAGGTTTTTATAGAAATGGATCAGGACAAAAAGAGAGAGAATCTTTGTTCCTGAAACTTTCAGAGTCTCTTTCCACCGAGGGGACACATGGTGATGTACAGTAGAAGAGACGTGAAGAAGTGAATTTTGCATGATAGGTGACCTTTAAAGGAAGCATGCTTGTTATGGTTTCATTCAGTGAGGCAGTTAAGGGGCGTCGTCCTCTTATTCCCCCGCCTCTCTCTTATCTCCTGCCTTACCTGCGTGAGCCGGGAGGATGTTGTGTTTCACTGAGTTTCCGAGTGGACGATTTAGTGTCACACAAACCTCTGCTGGCAGCCGACCGCTCCGCTACGACAGCAAGAAGAAGTGAAGTTTTGTGTGCAGCGCTAGTCAGAATTGACCTCAGCCGATATTAGATAATGGAGCCTCAACAGGTGCTGCGGAGAGGGTGAAATTGAATGTATTTGTTAATGCCGATGCGCTCCAGCGTGTGACACAGAGGCAGTGATTGGGTTGTGTCTCACTGAGAGCTGGCACACCGCCATGGCTCTGTGGATGTGGAACCACTGGAGATGGCTCTTTCTCTTCTGTCCGTGTTCATTCCTCTCATGAAAGTGTTACACAACATTTTCTCATAAAGCCATCACTCACTATTAGCAACCAACTGCAGGCTGCACAGTGGATCTATGTATTGATTCCTCCTTTCCTCTAATGGTTTGAAGATGCAAACTGTAAACAATTTCTGCTCAGAATTGCTCCACTTCCCTCCTCAACATTACTCCGTTTATTTGGGAGGTTTTTAGATTGACTGTGACTCAGAATAGGAGGAATGTTTTCATGATATCTTAGAAATAACAAGAGTAGTTATTGAGTAACAGGAGCTGCTGTTGTTTTTGTTTTAATGAGGGGAACCTGTGGAGTGGAGGCTTTCGCCCGAGGCTGCATCACTTCAAGCCGCTGACTGCTGAACGCTGTCCTGAAAAAACTAATTTGTTATTTCATAGTTTTAAATGCTGTTATTTTCTGGAGGTGGTCCTGAAAATGCATTCCACCTGCATTTTGTGTATACAGTATATATTATGTATCTATATACACAAAAATGGAAATTCAGACTGAAAAACAGAACAATTTGAACCTGATATATTACCATCATATCAAAAATACATGAAAAAACACTGTATTATTTCATGTTTGACTAGGATGAGGAGTTGATTAATTTCATTATCACACATGAAAAAACCATATACAAATTATAATAATAGGTGTTCAATTAAATAGACTGTTTGACCAAATTCTTCACATGCGTAGGACAAAAATCTTCAATTTAGTCTGCAGCCTGCTTGGAACAATAGAGTTGAATACATATCATTGTATAGCGATAAAACGATACGATGCTCTTGAGGGTTATTAACACAATGATATATAACTGCATCCGGACCCTACTTTTAACCTAAATTGCGTTGTGGCGCTCAGCTCTGATTAAATGTGATCAATTGGTCAATCACCTTCAGAGCTCAATCTGTCGCATCTCATCTCAACATCCATTCACTGGCAGGACGTCAAACATCACCGCACACATGAAATACATGCCTCTCCTTTGTGATGCAGCACTGCTTGTTTATTTGGTTACAAGTCTGACATTTGCAGAAGGGCTCTTTATTTCAGGGAGTGTCCAATATTCAACTCTCCCAAAGCTACATGGCCAACATGCAGGATTCAAATTCCTATGAAATCAAAAAATCACATGTTTTTCAGTATATGGCCCCATAAATGACAACTTATGGTATTGATAATGGTATTGTATAAGTGTATACTTTCCCTGAACGATTACAAATGTTAGTGACTCATCCTGCACTCGTTTTTGCAATTAAATGTTTTTATTATATCAAAAAGATGAGTCTCACCTTCACCAGCAGCACTGACAGATCAGGATCAATCTTCTTCATTGTCTTCTGCTTCTTCCTCCACTTCATCCCTGTGCAATCGTTCTGTGACATCTTCTAGCGTAGGCGAGGGTGATAGCAACAGAAACCGATCTAGTAGGTACCGTTAATCTGTAATCTCCCAGCGGGTTGTGACACATCTTTAAAGCAATTGGCTACTGAAAACAGCAACAAATTGTCCAAAGAAGATAATATGTTAAATCAAAATGCACTCAGCTGGCCGTTTCATGGTAACTTAAAATACTTTCGGGGAACAAAGTCACATGTACGGAGCCCTGGAGGGTTCATAGAGAGAAAAATAAATAAAACGTGGCCACGTTTTACTTTCTCGTGCGCACGCTTTAGTAACTCATGCGCATGAGTTACTAAAGCGTGCGCACGAGTTACTAAAGCGTGCGCACGAGTTAATAAAGCATGGCCTCGTTTTGTGTGTGTGTGTGTGTGGGGCATTTGATTATGATAGTATCGTTCGTTCCGGTGCACTCCGGCAGGACTATAGCACATCGAGATTAAGATTAAACACATTTCTTTCACTTGGGAATACACTTAACTATGGGGAACCAGATTTGTTTAAAGTACTGTTCGTGGTAATTTGAAAACAAATGCCGGTGGTGTCGGATACACACGAACACGCACACAGAGCGGAGCTGAGCACACACACACACATCATGCGCCCCGGTGACAGGACATCTCCTTCATAAAACAAGGGAGAATACTCTGGTAGTTCGATGTGTGTATAGGTGTGTGTGGTTAAACGTAGCAGCCTCGATCTCTATTCAGCGGTTCTAATGAAGGGAAACGCAGTGAAGTAAACAGTAAAAGGCACAGCTCTTTGCAGCTGGTGCTGCTCTTCTCAGATTCTGCTGAGTTACACGTTACTGCCTCCAGTGCCCTGTACGACGAAGCCAGTTCAACAGACTCTGGACCTGGACATGTTCGATTTACCCGGCTTAACTAACCCTAACAAACGCGATGTCGATAAGCGGTTCTACGAAGCTGGTTATCAACTCAGTAAATCAACCAGGGTTTCTCTGTCCGGCTGAGAGCGCGTTCACGTGAAAGGGACGGGGTTAGCAACATTTGACCAATCACAAACATGGAGACGCGTGCTGACAGCTAGTGCTGTAGCGACGCGTCGATGACGTCGACGTGTCGACTTCAAAATATCGTCGACGACATATTTCCGCGTCGACGCGTCGCTACACACACGTGGGTCACCAAAAGCAACAAGCAGTTCGCAATCGCACTTCAAACACAATGGAGACTGAAACGGCTACCACCTCCTCCTCACAGGATTGCGCACGAAGCCCCCAAACGAAAACATCTCGCCCTAGGTCTTCAAAAGCATGGGAATATTTTTAAGTTAGTCCAAAACGCAAAGATATTGTCATTTGCAGTCTTTGCCAAATGGAGTTGGCATATCACACAAGCACTGCTGCATAGCCTAGACCGGAGGCAGCAGCTAGCTGTGGTGGCTACCATTAGCAGCTAGCATTTGCTCTCCGATTTTTACATAAAAATGGAATTATGGATTATAAATTCAATCATTTTTTTATACATAGACGTTAAAAACCTATGGATTAACCGATTCAGCCGCGTTTTTTCTCATTGTAATGCCATTGAACACGTCTTTTGATCAGATTGACAGCTACGGTGGTGAGACGATCTCCCTAGAAGCTCTGTAAAGGTACGTGTTGTGATGACTGTATTTGCTTCCCCTGTCGCGAGTCCGGATCACTCAGTGATGATACTATATACCTACATAATCTGTGGAGTCTCAGCTTTAATCGGATATATTGTATGTGCAGCTACGATAAGTAATAAGGGTACTTTTATCTTGAGTTCTGTGCCAATGTCCGTTAGCATTTTTCGCTCAGGGGTCATTTAGATGCTTCTTATGAGACTTGTGTTTTGTTTTGGTAAACATGGTTTGTATCGTCAGTTAGCTGAGATTATTTCCGTTAATCTGGTATAACACATTAATAGGTTCTTAAATATTAAGATTCCCTGAGACACAGTATCGTGAAAAAATTGAACAACAGAAAAATAATCGTTAGATTAGTCGACTAATCGATCAAATAATCGCCCGATTAATCGTTTTCAAAATAATCGTTTCCCCCCCAGCACTACTGACAGCGCAGTGTCATACTTCATGAATGAATAGTGTAAATAGCAAATCCTGCTTCGTAGTACAGGCCACTGGTGCCGCAGAGATTTCATAAAGTGAAGGAGGTTTTCCTTCTATAAAACAGCTGTGGGCAGATACTGTGAGTCACGGACAGGAATCCCTCAATTTAAATAAAACGAGGCCACGCTTTATTAACTCGTGCGCACGCTTTAGTAACTCGTGCGCACGAGTTACTAAAGCGTGCGCACGAGAAAGTAAAACGTGGCCACGTTTTATTTATTTTTCTCTCTATGAACCCTCCAGGGCTCCGTACACATGTGAACATACACAGTTTATAATAGTTACAAATAAGACCTCAAATCAATACCATAATGTCCTTGTCGTTGGTTAAAAAAAAAAAAAAAACATGAAACTCTTTCTATCTTGTTCTTTCTATTTATCTAACGGTCTTCCTCTCCTCTCCCCTTCAGGACGGAGGGCTACAGAAAGGTTCCCTATCACTACTACGAGGCAGGCAGCCGGGACGAGTGCGCAGAGTATCAGCTCCACGAGAGCGCCCCGTACGGCGGCCATCGCTTCATCACGGAGAAATCTGTGATTGGCAAGTGGGCCAAAACTCACTCCATCAAGTTCTTTAACCCCCCATGGACGCTGTCGTGACCCTGGCTGAACCGACAAGGACATATTACACCGTCATCGCCATTATCATCATCTCTGTCGTCTGGGGACAAGCTGGATCGCTACACTGACAGAAAGCCTGTTCCCTAATGTGCACAACCGTCACACTTTGGCACATATTCCACTTCATATCCATTAGAGAAGGTTGTCCGATGGCTGCCTGTCAAGTGCTGAATGGAGAACATCCAGGAAGCGCGTTTTCTGACAGAAAGCCTTCCTGTTCAATTGATAAACATGGCCAGCAAAAACATATCTCCTGCTTCTTGAATTTGAAAGCTGCCGAGTTGTTCTGTTCACTGACCAGCCGATCCTCTCTGCTCTGTGAGTTCAGCAAAAGGACGGCCTCGAAGAATCTCTTTGAAAAGAAAAAACAACGGAGGGAAACAACAGGAAGTCCCAACTGTCCGTCAACTCTCAGTGACCTCACGGATCACATGTTTGCAGGCGCTCTATATGGCAGAGGCTGAATGAAAACCTGTTGCCATGGATGCCTGTTGATCTCGCCTACTCTGTTTCCTCCTGTCAGGCTGTATTTCCTCCATAGCACGCATCATTCAGGCCTTCGTCTCTGACTGATAATTGAGGGCATTTTTCGCCTACAACAGCTTCAACAAACAAGGTCATTTGAAAAAGAAAACCGCAAAAAACTCAACGGTAAACAAGAGTCATGGCTGTAAATCCGCTGCTCACCGTCATGCTTTGCTGTCTGTAAACTCACACAACGGAAAGATGTCAGCTGTTTTTTCTCTCTCTTAACTCTGTGAAACTTTTAAGAGACACGTTCCGGCTCGATCTGGATCGGTTGCTAACGTCTTCATCTCTTCAGCAACTCTCTGTAACAGTGCACCATTGACAACGTGAGCACATAGAGCAATGTGCAATCACAAACTCACCGAGGGAGTTGGATCATTTGTGACCCCCGCAGAGGGAGAGATTTATGTGTGCAGTGAAACCATTGGAAGTTAATTGTATGCCATTATCATTTTGTGCCTGCGATACACTCATTGTACAGAGACGGAGGAGGAGGCCGCTCCTCTCTCCATCGCTCATACTCTCATCTCAGCTTTGTGCCTCTTTGTGTACACGATCACTGTGTGAACACATCTGCCCGTTTGTCTTTGAACGCAGCGGGCATGTCTCCTGGTTCAGGTCGTAACATTTGAATGCATCAGTTTCCAGCGCAGTGAGGAATAATCAGTGAGGTGTGTAGGTCAGCTGGTATCAGTGGAGAGACTCTCTGGCTGTGACCATGACTCCCTTGGGGATTTACAGGTCAACATGTAGGTTGAAACTGGAAGGTTTGTGGATTTCTTGGCAGACGCGCAGCTACAGCTGAGGACTCAGGTCACGTCTGCTTGGAGTTTCTTTAATTTAGAGTGGGGAGGATTTTAAAAAAGCCAGATCCAATATTAATATGTTGGATTTTCACTGGCCATGAAATACAGTTGTAAGTATTCATCCCCACAATAGCAGTTTGAAGAAGGCTTTGCAATATCATTTCTTGCATCTGACATTTTGACTAGTCCAAATTTCGCGATTCTTATTTAGGAACTTTATATAGGATGGAGTCAGATTTCTCATTTTGGAAAACCCCAACTCAAATCCAAGATTTGGGCGTAAACAGAAATGAAAGCTATAGTCGTACTGTCTTTAGCACTTCTGTCTAATTGTGTCACATAACATGACATGCTACAGATGTTATCAGTGCTACAATCTGCATAATACGTTTCTGGGCAATTCCTGACCACAGCCCTGCGTCTATGTTAACCAAACTTATGATTATGATTCAAAGCAAACCAACTTTTATCTCTAGAAACCTTTTATGCATCCATGATGACATAGCAGCTTCAAATGGTGCATTTCATTAACAACTAATACATGTATGTAACTGAAACATCTGTAAAACCACTGCTTAGATACCTCAGTAACCTTTTTAAGATACTTTGCAAGAAACTGTATTGGGAGAAAATAGTCCCTACTCTGCGTTCCCTGAGAACTATAAGGCTGTCCCGATTGATCCATCCTCAGCCTCAGGCGTCTACAACTTATACAACATTTATTGACACAGGAAGCAAGCAGCAGCAACACGTATTAATGTACCAGTGGTGGACATTTATCCACATTTCTGCTGATGTTAAAAAGTTATGTAATAGCCTTCCTGACGCTTCTTCAGACACGTGTTCTGGTGGTTTTAGACTTCCTGTCTGCCTCGTGTTGCACGTCTCCCTGCAACGTCTAATCAAAATGTACAATCAGGCAAGAACAACTTAATTATCGTGTGTTATATCACCGTGTATGAAAAACAAACCAAATGGTCATATCTTGATCTGTTTCTAGCCCAATTTTAAATCTTCACTGTTCTTCACTTGCAGTGGAAACACAAACAAAAAGTGTTTTATTTTTTTATTAACATCATGACAGATTCTAAGCTCTCATTTTACTGCACTTTTATTGTACACTTTTACTATTATGCTGCTGTGTTTATTGTATTGTTGTTACTCTGGCACAACAATTTCCTTCGGGATAAATACAATCTTATGTTAAGCTCAACTGAGCAGATCCTTCCTCTAATGAAGATTGTTGAAGAAGTTAAAACCTACAGCAACAGCTCATTAAAAGTGTAGAGATGTTTTAATTAACCATCCAGTTATAACCCTCGATGCATGTTGACCTGCGAGTATCCAAATCCCTTCTCTCTGGGTCATTGTGTGTCAGCTTCTTGTTGAGCAACAGAAAATCTCATATTTTCTCGGCATAAAGTCCCGAGAACGATCACAGAACGACCTCCACCTCAAAACTCATTGCAAGTCCGCCCAGCTGAGGAGAGCGTCAGCAAAAATGTAAAATCGGCCTGTTTAAAATTCCACCCGGTGTGTCTCAGCGTATAAAAGATGGCCGCAACACAGGGGGGGGTCAGAGGTCAGATTTCCTCCGAGACGACACAGCTCCAGAGGTCTGAAGGAATCCCACCACACGATGTATGTAAAGCAGAACACGACCTTCTGTGATATTCCTCCTGCTCTGGAAGCTAGAAGATAAGATGTGTGCCTCTGGGAGAGTTAGAAATATAGGTGAAACATCCCCTGATACCGAATCACATGCATGTTACATGATTAATGTTCATATATCTCCTTCAGCCTGTGATTGTGCGTTCATCCGGCAGCTTTACCTCTGCTGTACAGTATATCACGAACATAAGTTAGAGCTGTCCCATCATTTTCAGGTGTGTTATGGTGCATTATTTGTATTCTAATCATCACATTCTCCTCCTCTTGTTGTTCTTCTTTTTCTTGATGCAGTGGTTTGTGTGTTGCCAATATTTTTCTGCTGCTGCAGGCTGTGCTCTCGGTTATTTTCTGATCAACAAACACTCCTTTGTCTTCAGCCAGAACCCCCTGGAAGGAAACCAACAGATGTATTATACAGGACATTATAGAAAATAAGCCGTTATATAGGCTACCGTGAATCATCTGGGGCTCACAGGGAGAGGACTGGAGAATAAGTAACACTATGAAGAAGAGTGGGCAGCAAAATATAGTTTTAATGAGCATTTACACATTATTTCATTATTTGTTTTAACTCTAAACCAATAGTTGGACATATCGTATTTGCTGTCTTGCAAGGAGTTAGATGATATGTGTGATGACTGATCTCATATCTTACAGTGAATTTGAAGCTACAGCCAGAAGCCGGTTAGCTTATCCTAGCACAACAATTGGAAACCAGTGTAAACATCAAACTTGGCTCCGTCCAAAGTTAACTAAATCCTCTTAAAAGCTTACAAATTAACATGTTCTATCTCATTTGTTTATGCATGTGAAAAACAACAATTTGTGTTTTTTTACACTTGGTTTTGTGCCGAGTGTTCGCGGCTCAGAGCTGTTGAAGCTGAGATTCTAAGAAAGTCTACCCTCTGTCGCACTGGTTCTGATCCTTTGGGATTTTTAATGAACTAAAACAGCGATAACTTTGTGAACCAAGTTGTTGTTTTAGTCATTGAAATTGTTAACAAATTCGAATTGGATTTTGAATGGGTTTATTTCCTGATTAAAATAGAAGCCTAAAGTTCAGGTTTTACTGTGGATCTTGTACAGAAAGATATTTCAATATTAACCTAATTAGTGAACCTTATTTGGCCAGTCTAACCGTTTCCATTCTTTGTGCTAAGCTAACCAGCTAGCTGTGTTTTCATAACCTTTCATCTATCCTCACATTGCTCATCTAACGCTCGCTAAACTCATCAATTTCCCAAAATGTTGAACTATTTCTTATTTTTCCCCTGAATTATTTTCATCTCTGGTTCTGGCTCTTTTTATTTTTTTCACTCACAGATCTTGAACTGATCACTTCAAGCTTTCGTGTTCTGAGCAGTGACGTTTGTTGGTTTCATCTCTCCTTTCAAACCTGAAGCAGATTCTTCTCTTTGTGCTCGCAGTATGCAAATAGGAAGGAAAATAAAACCCATTGCTCCTCAGCCTCACCGAGAACTGAAACAGTTGAATGAGCACCATTTAATAATGCTAAGTTAAAAAACCAATTGAAGGTTGCGTCCCTTAAAACAAGCAGCGTTTGCTTTAAATAAACAAACCCTGATTAAAACGTCTCGTCTGGAGCTACCACCGCGTTTAAAATGCTCTCATTATCTTCGGCTCTTTTTTCCGGTCTGCTAATAATTATGTTTTGGAGTTCAGATTTGAAAGATTGTCTCACGTCTACGTAAAAAAAAAATGGTAGCATTTCCTCCTGACTGTTGTACTTGTTGCCATTTCTCTCAAGTGCTTTAAAGTTTGTTTCAATGTTCTCCTTCCCTGTGTCTTGCATTTATTTTGTGCGTTGTGAAGCACTTTCCTTTTCTCCATTTTCAGGTCAAGTGTCCTTGTGAAATGTGTAACTTGAGTGAGTGTTGAGTTACAATGAATGTAATATAACACCGAGAGGTTGTTATAAAGAAAGATGTTTTTGCTAACAGTTAACACTCCTTTTTATCGGTTGAAAAAATGCTGCATGGAGAGTTGCAGGTTATTTAAATGTACATGTTGTTAAAAAACACGTTGTGATTATATGTATTTCTGTATTACTTATTAGCTGTAAAAAGATATATTGTGAGAGTTCTTATTTTTACCAACATGTCCTCTGTGTCTTTTATTCTCTGTTGGGATTAAAGGAAACCTAAAAACCTTGTTATTTGATTAAGTTCCTTTCTCAACAAAGCCTGGAGAAATGTGTTCATGTTATATGAATGGAGCCGCCATCTCAAATCTGACGTCTCATGATATTTTTAAAACATCAGCAGCGAAGATGAGCCGAATTCAGACGAGTTTCGGTGAGCATGAGAGTTTTTTCTGTCACCTCTGCATAAATAAAGAGCACACGTTTTAAATAATAATGCTCACAGTCATGGTTTTGATGCTACAGTAATGAATAAAGTAAAAATAAAACATTTAGGGGACAGATTGAAACGATAATGGTCCTTATTCAAGCAGGTGGTTGATATATTCTGACTTGAGTTCTGAAAATCCCTCAAACACATTTCTTCCCCCTGTCTTGTGAAAGATAATGTCTTTGAAACTCTGCTACTTATTTGTTACTCAGGCTCATAGTTATACAACTGTAGCCTCTTAAAATGTCTTTTTGCACTACTCTTTTGCAACAGACTTAATGCTGACTGGATTATATTATTTATTTAAAGTGCACCTATCATGCTATTTTTAAGCAATAGCATAGGTCTCAGATATATAAAACATGTATGAAGTGTTTTGCTCAAAATACCAAACAGATTACCCATTCTATCCATGCCTCATATCCCTCTGTTTCACTTCCTGTTTCAAAAGTGCTGATTTGGGTTTATAGCTTTAAAAAAAAAAAAGAATTGATAAAAAATAAAGGAGGGGTCTGAGCTCATGCGGGACCCGGCAGCTACTGTCTAAACTAAATACTGCGGTGATGAAACGCCATATCATGGATTATCAAGGATTATTTCTGAAACAGTATGGAGCTCAAAGGCTTTCTCTCTTGCCGGTTATACCACAAGGTGAGTTCCTTTTTATTTCCTGCTTCTTCACACACATGCTCTCCAGTACAGGTTAGCGCTGAGTGTTAGCGATGCTAATGTAAACACAGACCATATTACGTCCAAAACAGTCGGGCATTGTTTCTGATAGTAACGTTTCTAATTGGCCCGTGGGTGTAAAGCTGCCAGTCCACATTTCCGATATTACGTCATATCGGACGCAAATCTGAATCAGCTCCGTTGTAGCTCCGTTTTTAGAGATTTGGGTACCGAGGAAAAGAGAGAGGGTTTTATTTTCTGATGCTGCGTGAGTTCCCTGACACACCGGGGATACATGTATAAAAGACATCAAAAAGTGCATTTTGCATGATAGGTCCCCTTTAAAGAGATTATTAATATATCTCCTAAATCGCCATTTTCCTCCCCAATGTGTCTGCAAACATTTACACACAACCCATTTTATTTGTTATCCCTATACTATTTGCAATTTAAATAAGATTAAGGCTCTTATATTTATATGTAGGTTCAACTCAGAGCTCTTGGTTCAAATTAGGGAAAAAGGTAACGAGATTTTTTCAATCTTAACCCTAAACCACAATTTATTTCTGTCAAATATTTTTCTAAATATATTTAAACAGGAATATTTCAATTTCCTGTGTCAAAACCTTGTACTTAATCTATGGTGCAAAAAGTGCACACTTATTAAACAATAGAAAACTCATGTCAATCAGTCGATATCATTCATGCAGAAATAACATAACATGGAATATTTAGGAGTCAAGGTTGCTCTTTGACAAGAGGAAATGTTAGACTGTTTTAAAGATGGAATATACTGCACAGGATTACCTTCATGTGTAAAGAAGTTGATATTCCCTTTTAAGTATGGAAAGTTAATTAGGAAATTACTCGCTCTCATTTAGAAAAATACGAATCTCGTACGGTCATGCTGTTCCTAACATGATGCCAAGTCTTGCTTTGTGTGCTATCTATTCACATTTACCTCATCGCAAAGTCAGCTTTGAATAATGTTGCTATAATCCCACCCCTCCTTTTGGCCTAAATTGAATTGACAGATTTAGTTTCTTTCTGCCGGAGCTGACCAACATCAGATCAACGACTGAGTGTTCAGTCCAAGCAGCCGCCACGCCAGTCTAAATTAACATTTGCTTTATTCAGCTCTGCATACTATCTACTTTGTATTTGATAAGTTAACAAACCATATGAGTTGATGACATTAAATCAGCTGGCTCTTCTCAACCAGAATCTGAAACAGGTGTCCTGCCAATTAGTTTGTCACATTTAGTTGAAGGAATTAGACTAAAAGTTGTTATTGTAAGAGACAATAGCATATCAAAGCCGGTGTTTATGCACCCCCGTCGTGAAATGCACCCCCTGGCCTGCCGTAAAAAGCACCCCCCACAAAAAGATACTTCTATTAATCCCACCCTCAAGCACTTTGGAGGGTATAGTTGTAGGACTAGTACCAATAAATGGAGCAAGTTTTATGTATGTGACACGTTTATTGTCAGAGATAGCAAGGGTGCATATCGTGGTAACCAGGCTGTTCATAAAAAGCATCCCCCAAAATTAAATGTTTCTATTAATCCCACCCTCAAGCACTTGGTGTAAAAATAAACAATACATTGTAAAGCACAAGCACAAGTAGACAGGACGTCACAATTAAATAAAAACATATATTAAAGGGGACCTATCATGCAAAATGCACTTTTGTACGTCTTTTATACATGAATATGTGTCCCCGGTGTGTCAGGGAACTCACCAAGTGTCAGAAAACACAACCCTCTCTCTTTTCCTCCATACCCAAATCTCTAAAAACGGGGCTGCAACGGATCTGATACAGATATGTATGATTATTATAGAATAATCGATTATTATTCGCCAGGGCTGCCGAATAATCGATTTTGATCATGGTCAGTTTCTGGCAACCCTAGTAACAGCATGGTAACAGCATGGTAACAGCATGGTAACATGACGCTCGTGCCTCGCCCCCTCCTTTGCAGGGGGGCGTGGTCAGCTGCAGCTCATTTGCCACAGAATCAGCCCTTGTGAAGACAGGGCTGGAATAGAGCAAATAGAGCGAAATGAGGCATGGCTAAAATGCATGATCTGTTTGGTATTTTGAAAAAAACACTTAACAGACATGTTTTATATAGGTATGGCCCTACAATATATGTTTCAAATATAGCATGATAGGTCCACTTTAAATAAAAAAATAACTGAAAAATAAGTGACGAATGAATGCAAGATCCAGGATTCGACCACCCAACCATCAAAAAGACAACATAGAATAGCGGACTATACGTTCAAATGCGCGTTCCCGTGTCAAGGGGTGCATTTCACGACGGGGGTGCATAATTTGACACAACACCGGCACTACAGTAGCAAACAGCGAAGAGACAAAAAATGCACAGAATAACCGTTTCTTAAAGTAAAAAGCTGTACATTTATGTTCAAAATGTGAACAAATGAATCTGCTAAAGTTTACAGATTTAAAGATTTGTAAATAGCTGCTGGGTGGAGCCGTACAGCGAGTTGGGAGCAAAGTGAGCAATACACATGATATTTGCAAAGCTTACAGAGTTACAAAAGAGGGTTAATGGAAAAAGGCCTTTTTCAGTTCACCTTACCTTGAATCCTCTATTCCTACTTCGGTTACCTTGACTCGGTTAGACCTGAGTTACGTTCCAGCCCGGCCACATATTTACGGTTTTTCTTTTCTGTCAGCCTTTTAATTTTGTTTCGCTAGCAGCTGGCGTGCATTAGTGTTTTCTGTTTTGTGGACAGCTTAACGGTGCAAGGTCAACGAGACGACTGGAATCTTTTCAATTTGAGTGTTTGCAAATATGTTCTTGCAGAGCGTTTGACCTCATGAAAGTCTTTGCAGAAGGATGTGCTCTCCAGGGCCAGATGGTACAACGTGTAGCATTCCTCGAGCTCAGGGACGCTTATATTGGGAGTCTAATCATAAAATGTAAATGAAAAAGAAAAAGAAGAAAGGGATAATAAAGAAATGCTTTGCTTTCTATACAATCTCCTGTTTGAAGCACACTTCTGTTGCCTTTAAGATCAATAGTAAAAGGAATAGGAATAGTTGTGCTTGATTGAAGAGGGGCTGTATGAGGGTTTTATCTATTGTAGCTGTACTGTTGTGTACGAGGGAAGCAGCAAAGCGTATTTCAGCCACAAAATCAATATCAGTTATAGTGTTCGCTATATTTAGAACAGCCCTTTCCGATGGGGAATGAAGTTGTTACATCCATCTTTTGCTCTCTTTATAGTCAACAAACGTAACGCAAGTACTTTTTTCCTTGCATGACAAGAAAGGTGCTGTTTCACTTCTTCCTAAATTGGTGAGTTTGTCGGTGTTAATGTTGCAACACAGTCTCACGGCATTTCGTGTTATAGTCACGAAATTAATCTATTGATTCGTGTTCACCAACACGATTTCGCCATTTTTTTCGTGTCACACAGAACGATTTTAAAAGCAATGTAAATAATAACAAATTAGAAGGAAAACAAGATGACAAAAAATACAGATTTCAGTATTCTGAGGCTCTGAGCCATTTATTTTCCTCGCGGACGGCAACAAAACTCAGACATTATACAATTTAAAATAAAAAGGATAGGGTTAGGCTTAGGGTAAGATATTGAGGAAGAAAATGTTTTTATGAATCACACAGCTTCCGGTCTTCGAAGACCCGACCGGACAAAAAGACGTGGTGCAGGCACGAAAAATAGCCAACCAACAGAAATACATTGCTTTTAAAATCGTTCTGTGTGACACAAATCAATAGATTAAATTAATGTTGTGACTATAACACGAAATGCCGTGAGACTGGGTGAATCTGAACCTGTAACCATGCATGCTAATGGTTCATGCATTCAAAAGCTCACAATGTGGCTGCCAAAGCGTTGGGAAAAATGTTTTTTAACCAACATTATCCTACACTGTATTCCATACATTTAAATTGTAGTTAAAGGTTTTAAACTAAGCTAAAGCTAAGAGCTTAGCTTAGTTTAGCTAGCAAGCTCCGATTGTAAGCATGGGAAAACAGCTAGTCTAGCTCTCTAAAGTAACAAAATATGCTAAACAAAAGCTCTTAAGATCACTTACTCACATGTTATACCTTGTTTATTTAAAATATACACA